GAAAACCTATTAATCTTTTAGAGGGATTTGGCCAAGAGACATTTCTGAATTATGAGAGACTGAAGCCAAAGAAGGGTAAAATAGAGTAACTCAGTCTAAAAACTCACAGCAGCCCGATGATCTGTATTATCAGTGTATTACGATAGAGAGGTTTACATTACAGTTATGAACTGATACTAATTCAATAACTCTGAAAAATCAATCAAACTATTTAATAAGTACAACACGTGGTCAGCCAACTAAACACCGTAGCCATTCAGTGACACATGCACAGAATTATTTACTAAAGTGAGAAGTCAAAGTGAATTTCAAATGTAAGGTCAGAGTAGGGGAAGTGAAAGAATAGCTGACTTAGAGGATTTTTCCCGTCCAGTTATTTTGACGTTACATCTAAAATTCACCTTGAATTCTTACTTTAGTGAATAAGTCTGACATGCACACATGAACACACAATGAAGTGAAAAAAATCCACGTCAAAGCTATCACTAGGCACTGAATACATTTCCTACCTGCTTTTCTTTCTGATACAATAGTTTCCCGAGGACATAGATTGGTACCCACCACCAACATTCCTTGGGTCTGACCACAGAATTCTCTCTATTTACTATGCATGCAGCATTAAAGATCACACACAGTCATGGACTAAATGGTCTTGCATAGGTGTGGAATTAAAATGATCTATTCATACATTGCACATACGCACATGGTGGATGTGTTTATAACTTTTTACTTTGTGTATATTGTCATAATATTTGCACTTCATGCTCATGACCAATATACAATTTGCACTTTATGTAAATGGCCAATATGCTCACATTTGCACTTTATATGGTATATGTGCTCACATCGTGTACTTTATACAAATTGTTTTTTGTGTGTTTACATCTTGTACTTTATGCACATGGTCTAAGTGCTCACATATTGCACCTTACATGGTCTATGTTCTCACATTTTGTACTTTGTGAACATGGTCTTTGTGATTGCATTTTGTACCTTACTCACATGGCCTATGTAGTTACATCTGGTACTTTACTCACATGGTCTATATACTTACATCTTGCACTTTACACACATGGGTTATGTGCTAACATCATGCACTTCATGCATATGGCCTAGGTGCTCACAATGAGCACTTTATGTTATTGGTCAATGTGTTTACAGATTGTGTTTTGTGCGTATAATGGATATGATTAGTTGAATTGTGGTATGTGCTTTTTCTCACATGATAAAGGTATATTAATGAGATGATGTACTTTATTTGCCCTAGATTGTGCTAACCGTATTTGTAGTTTAACACACTTTATTTGCATGAGGTGTGGTTGGTTTATATTGGATACATCCATGGATAGTATTATATAATATTGGTGGCACTGTTGTGTGATGTATATATGTATCCCTAGACTGTTTATGTTTTTAATTATGATGAAGGGTTTATTTTTCTTAGGTATTAGATGTATTATGGTATTGGGTGAG